ATAGGGGGCCCTGGAGGCTGCAGCTATAGGGGCGGCCCTATAGGGGGCGAGGCCGGGCCTATAGGGAGCTCTATAGGAGGCAGAACGTATGGGGGAGGGATGTATGGGGCAGCTCTATAGGAGCCTTTAAGGGGAAGCTCTAAGGTGTGTTGTAGAAGGTCAGAGGTGGTCTCTATAGGTGCCCTATAGATGCTATGGGCGGGGGGACRCATCTATAAGTAACAATAACAGCACGGGGGGGGCAGCATCCATAGGGCAATATGGGGGGACCCTATAGGAGCGCAGTCCCTATAGATATTCCAATGTACTGTGGATGTTTATGAGCTTACGACTCTTTACRGGATCTTATAGGTGCTTAAGGGCACCCTATAGTGACTTAAAGTACTTAGGGGCCCTATAGATATTTAAGGAACAGTGCGGATATTTATGGSTCTGTTATGAATATGTAAACAATTTATAGCTATGTAAGAGCGTTTTATAAATATTTAGAGGTCTTATGTATGTTTAGGAGTCATATGGATRTTTAGGGACCGTATATGTATTTAGGTCTGCTATATATGTTTAGGGACCGTAAAGATGCTTGAAGAACCCTGTAAATAGTTAAAACACATTCAGTATCTATATAAGGGCTCTATAGTAATATAAGGATGCAGTATAAATGTATAGGAATCATATGGATATTTAGGAACCTTATAGATGTTTAGTTGTGCTGTAGATATTTAAAAAAACTTAAATATATATAGGGTTTTTGTAGGTGTGGGAGGTTCTACGTAGATGTTTAAGGAGCACTATGGGTATTTAAGGGCATCCTATAGGTTTCTAATTGAATTTGTGGACTTTGAAGGACCTATAGATATTAAAGGGCCCTGTAGATATTTAAAGGCAACCTATAGGTGTTTAATTGGATTTGGGGACTTGGAAGGACCCTATACATGTTTAAGGGCTCTATAGGTATCTGAAATATTCGGAAGATGCTTTGGAAGCCTATAGATGTTCAAGGAGCCTATAGCAGTTTAATATACCCTGCAGATACTTGGGGGTTCTATAGATTTCTAAGGGAGCTTATAGACATTTAGGGGGCTTATAGATGCTTAAGAGCTCCTATAGATGTTTAGGGCTTGCTATAGATATTCAGGGGATCCTATAGATATTTAGGAGCTCTTATATGCATTTAGGGGAGTCTGTAAATGTTTAGGGGGCCCTATGGATGTTTAAGGGACTGCTGCGGGTGTTAGGGGCCCTATAGATGTTTAGGGAGCCCTATAGGTATTTAGGGGACCCTGTAGGTGTTTAGGAGCCCCTATAGGTGTTTAGGGGCTCCTATAGGTGTTTAGGGGACCCTTTAGGTGTTTAGGGTTCCCTAAGGGTTTTAAGGGACCCCTATAGATATTAGGGTTCCCTATAGATCTTTAGGGTTCCCTAAGGGTTTTTAGGGGCCCCTATAGATATTAGGTTTCCCTGTAGATCTTTAGGGGCTCCTATGGGTGTTTAGGGTCCCCTATGGGTATTAGGGTCACCTATTGGTATTTAGGGGCTCCTATAGATATTTAGAGTTCTCTACAGGTGTTCAGGGGCCCCTATAGTTTTTAGGGTCCCCTATGGGTGTTTAGGGGCTCCTATAGATATTTAGGACCCCTTTTAGATATTTAGGGTCTCCTATGGGTATTTAGGGGCCCCTATAGATATTAGGGTTCCCTCCATG